TATAGCATGCATAAATTATTTTTCTAACCTGCATTAACATGAATTTATTGCACAAAAAGTTCATCATTTTATCAAATGCAGTTTTAGCCAGCCCTATTCGTTATCTCTATGACACATCTTCGGTCAAATGTTATCAACACACCTAGATACTTATATTTCTGTTCTGGCACCTTCCCATCGACGATAGTGTTATATTGTGCTATAAGGAGGCATGGCCCATGAAGATGGCGTGTGTCCCCTCGGCACGAAGCCTGGGCTGTACTGTAGAGATATATTTATGCACGTGTTATCTTCTTCTTCGCATTCACCAGCTGTAAACTCTGGCGGAAGGTTCTGGTTGCTCATCCACTAATGAACTGCAGTCCTGCTCCAGAAGCTGAGTGTTGCGTGTGCATCAGTTTTACAGATCTCATTCTCTTGAATACACACTGTTGATTCCTTGCCTCTCCGGCAGATGCACTCCGACTTCAAAGGAAGCTCCCCAATTAGTCGACTCTTACAACATGCTTTTGGGGAGGCATTGGGTCTATTCTTGTTTTCCCCACAATGGGGCCCCGGAACCCACACGGGGGTGCACTTGTTATAAAATAACGCCTCTGACTTTTATTATACATTTAGGCATAAACATTTTCTTTGATATTACTATTACTTATGTCTTCCCACTATTTAAGCTAGGCTCATTTTACCTCTTACTACCACCACTGTATCTATAAATTCCTGTAGTTTTCCGGACTTGTCGCTATCAAGATAGTCATCAGCATAAAGTATGTTGTTTATGATGTGGTAGAATAATAGGATATTTATATTATGACCACCAACCACATATCCTGGCGTATCCATGATCGATCTCATTATATATTCACTGTACAATAATAAAAACAAATCAGATATAATACAAATCCTTGTTGTACGCCTCTCTTTTTTATACTCTGAAACTTCCCAAAAGGTTAATTCTTACAGCTGCTGTTTTCTGCCAATAAATGTTCTTTACTATTTGCAGATCTTTTCTATTAGTGTTAAATGTTTCTAGTAGTTTGATTATTTCCTCATGTTTAAAACAGTTGAATGCTTCTGTATAGTCAATGAAGCATAAGTGAATACTGATTTTTACTTTTACAGCTCTTACTGACAAAGGAATACACACACAATTAATATTACACCAATCAGCTTTTTATAATAAAATCCCGGACACTATCACAACTAAGTCTGTACAAACAGAAATGCACAAATGCTCTACATCACTTTAATTGCTGGACGGATTCACAATGGAACTTGATCTCCCCTCAAAAATCACTTTCAGACATACCAGTTTTCCAATTTTCTGAGATAATTGCGTTGTCACCCATCTTCAAGAAGCAAAGCAAATGTACCATCATAATTAAGTGTGAAATGATTGAACTATGGTAATATACAAACAAAACTAAATATCAACCAAAGCTTTTAAACAAAGAGGACATTGAAAATGATCATAACTGTGAATATCTTAGCTCCATACAATTAATAACACTTGGAACTGTTCTACAGAACTCAGAAAAGATGGGTCCTAGTAAGGTCAAGAATGTTTTACAGAAAAGATGGGTCCTAGTAAGGTCAAGAATGTTTTACAGAAAAGATGGGTCCTAGTAAGGTCAAGAATGTTTTACAGAAAAGATGGGTCCTAGTAAGGTCAAGAATGTTTTACAGAAAAGATGGGTCCTAGTAAGGTCAAGAATGTTTTACAGAAAAGATGGGTCCTAGTAAGGTCAAGAATGTTTTACAGAAAAGATGGGTCCTAGTAAGGTCAAGAATGTTTTACAGAAAAGATGGGTCCTAGTAAGGTCAAGAATGTTTTACAGAAAAGATGGGTCCTAGTAAGGTCAAGAATGTTTTACAGAAAAGATGGGTCCTAGTGAGGTCAAGAATGTTTTACAGAAAAGATGGGTCCTAGTAAGGTCAAGAATGTTTTACAGAAAAGATGGGTCCTAGTAAGGTCAAGAATGTTTTACAGAAAAGATGGGTCCTAGTAAGGTCAAGAATGTTTTACAGAAAAGATGGGTCCTAGTAAGGTCAAGAATGTTTTACAGAAAAGATGGGTCCTAGTAAGGTCAAGAATGTTTTACAGAAAAGATGGGTCCTAGTGAGGTCAAGAATGTTTTACAGAAAAGATGGGTCCTAGTAAGGTCAAGAATGTTTTACAGAAAAGATGGGTCCTAGTAAGGTCAAGAATGTTTTACAGAAAAGATGGGTCCTAGTAAGGTCAAGAATGTTTTACAGAAAAGATGGGTCCTAGTAAGGTCAAGAATGTTTTACAGAAAAGATGGGTCCTAGTAAGGTCAAGAATGTTTTACAGAAAAGATGGGTCCTAGTAAGGTCAAGAATGTTTTACAGAAAAGATGGGTCCTAGTAAGGTCAAGAATGTTTTACAGAAAAGATGGGTCCCAGTGAGGTCAAGAATGTTTTACAGAAAATATGGGTCCTAGTAAGGTCAAGAATGTTTTACAGAAAAGATGGGTCCTAGTAAGGTCAAGAATGTTTTACAGAAAATATGGGTCCTAGTAAGGTCAAGAATGTTTTACAGAAAAGATGGGTCCTAGTAAGGTCAAGAATGTTTTACAGAAAAGATGGGTCCTAGTAAGGTCAAGAATGTTTTACAGAATAGAAAATGTAGTTATGTGATGATTAACTAGAAAAACCTGCCAGACTGGGAGTGGGGGAAGAATGACAAATGAATACAATACAAAACAACAAAGAAGACTTTTAAGTGAAGATTCTCGCAGATTGGTCACAAAATACACTACAAAATGAAGGACACCAAAGGCAGTACAAGAGAAAATAACACTAGGAACAAGTGAAAGGTTAAGACCAAGGACAACATTTATATAATTACAAAAAATCATCATAGATTCATCAATGCAGACATACATGGAATTAAAACAACACAAGACGGTCAATCAATGGAATGAACTGAAAGCTCCATGGCCTGCTAAAATACTTTATCATGGCAATACTGTCAATTGAATTCTCCAAGAGTGTGGAATTTATTTTCTGGTGTCTGATGTTGTGCAAGAGTTGGCTGGGCTTTCCTCTCTATTCATGTTTATTCTACAGCAGGTTTATTTCCAGACCTAATTATTTGTCTTCAGCAGAGGGCCTTTTTTCTCCCTACTGTAGTCTTTGTACTGAGCTGTATGAATGTTTTCTTCTGTTCTCCCAGGTTTTCTACGTTTGGCTACCTTAGCCAGGCCAGCGCTCAACAACAACAACAACAACAACAAAACATTTTTGTGTGTGGAATCCCTGCACTTCTTGGAATATATAGATGACAAAGACTGATACACTAAAGCCATGACAGTGTAAAAAAAAAACCCAGAAAGTTTGAAGTAAAGCTACGTTAAAAAAAAATTATTATGGAAAATAAAGGATGTGCAGCAACAAGCCTTCACAAGTAACACACAAGAAACAACACAACACACACAAGGAACAACACAACACACACAAGAACAACTTTGAAGTAACCACTTAAGGCATTGGGATACATAAAATTGTGCAACAAAAATAAACAGGAAAATTATATCAAGTATGTGGTACTTAGCATCTTGAATGTAGTTACTACAGCAGCACTTCTTTCTTTATTTTGTGTTGTTTTCTGTGTTTTGTTCCTTTACTTGTTTGCTAAGCAAAGCTTGTTGCCACAAATCCTTTATTTATTGTAATTCTTCTTCTTCTCTTCCTCCATTTACCTCAACAGAGCATTAGAGAGAGATGTAGTCTGTGTGCTTCTTCTATTAGGTTGCCTACGTTAGTCTTCATTTATTTAAGGCTGTTCTTGACGCCGTCATTCAATCTTTTGCAGTCTTTCCCTTGCTTTGTGACAAATTAGTACCAGGGCATTCTTTACAACTAAAGTCTGTAAAGCTGTCGTTTTTTTTTTTAAAAACATTTCCCTTGGCAGTTCTTGGATTATGGCACAGAAATATCTTTTTGCTGTCCTCTGTTCTAATGAGCCTGTCTAATCCAACTACAGTGTCTTTATTGTGGCCCCAGTCATCTGTCTTGAAGTGACTAGTTTATTAAAATAACTAATATCATCCGGTGATGATCACTGCCTACATTTTCTACGACTTTGATGGTAACATTTTCTGCTGAGAACAAAATAAAGTTGTACCATATGCCGACAGTGCGAATTGGTAAAGTTTCCAGATTAAAATGATAGCTCTATTATGTTTTCCGTGGCCAGCACAGGAAAACATCTGTGGCTCATGTGAAACTCAGTTCCCTCAATTGCTGCTATTGGGAGCAGACCGCTCTGTTTGCAGCCATCCAGTGACTCTATTAAAAGACAATTTTTAATCAGTCAGCATCTGAACACTTATATCATTGATAAATGACGCAATGAGTCACAACTTAAACATGTAGGCTCAAATATTATGGAGAATTAGTGCTCTAGGCTTTGCCATCCTTAAAACTGCTCTTACTTTAATACTTTTCAGGGCACTGTAGGTTGGAGGAGGGAGGGGGGATGTTTGAACCTAAGGATTCAGAGCCGTGTGACCAGTGCAATCACCATGAATTGTGAAAGCATTTCATCTTTTTGCTTGGGATCAGAGGGTTAAAAACAAATGAAAATATATTTGGAAAAAACCAGTACAACTGCATACCAATGACAACATTAAACATGTGTATAGATGACTGCATTTCTGTACAATTTGACAGACACGATGAGTAAAATTTAAGGTAAATTCATAACTGCAACTGTTTTCAAAAGTAAAGTGACTTGTAAATAATATATAGAATAATTGTGTATGATTTCTCTATGAAACCGTAAGGTTTTATCAGAAGAGTTCTTGCTAATGCCAGTTCCCTTCATTATTACAGACAGACTTTACTCACTTTAAATTACACAAAAACAATCCAGTTTTACAGAAATTCTTTCAAGAAAGTAGAGGATCCACACTGCCGAAATATTTACAATCAAAGTTTTTTTTAGATATAAAAAATATTTTTTGAAACTTAAAAAAAATTTACTGAATGCTGTGAGGAACTGATTCTGTTTCTACAGAGAAGAGCTCCTTGTGAAGTGCTGGAAACTGAATATCTGGTGCCTCTTCTTTAAATGCATTTAAGACACGAATATGCCTGGCACTTAGTGATCGCAGTACCCCTGCCTGCTCCACGAACCTCTTGAGAATATGCTTGTCCCCAGTGTGGTTCACACTCATTTCTTGTTTGAGAGATGTGAGAATCAGATCGTGAAGCTGTTGAATTTCCCCAATTTCTTTCACACCTGGTCGATCTGTTTTTGTGGGAAAGAATAAAACATTTCAGGAGTGTAATGTGAAAAGTAGAATCACTAAGAATCCAGTTTCATTTTCAAAAACTAAAAACGCTAAAAGCTTAACTATTTAACATTTGCAAGGACCTTTATTAACTGGTAATGCAGAGCTTAAACGCAGAACTAAAAAAATTGTTTACGTGAATTTAATGGTGAAGAAAAGCACTGAAAAAGACTTGGTAAAATATAACAAGAATATTCATGCAAAGAACCCACAGGGCAGGAAAGATCAAGGAAGCCATACAGAGAGATCAAGAAAGCCATACAGAGAGATCAAGGAAGCCATACAGAGAGATCAAGGAAGCCACACAGAGAGATCAAGGAAGCCATACAGAGAGAGATCAAGGAAGCCATACAGAGAGATCAAGAAAGCCATACAAAGAGAGAGATCAAGAAAGCCATAGAGAGAGATCAAGAAAGCCATACAGAGAGATCAAGAAAGCCATACAGAGAGAGATCAAGGAAGCCATACAGAGAGATCAAGAAAGCCATACAGAGAGAGATCAAGGAAGCCATACAGAGAGAGATCAAGAAAGCCATACAGAGAGATCAAGAAAGCCATACAGAGAGATCGAGAAAGCCATACAGAGAGATCAAGAAAGCCATACAGAGAGATCAAGGAAGACACACATGGAGAGATCAAGGAAGCCAAACAGAGAGATCAAGAAAGCCATACAGAGAGAGATCAAGGAAGCCATACAGAGGGATCAAGAAAGCCATACAGAAAGATCAAGAAAGCCAGAGAGATCAAGGAAGCCATACAGAGAGATCAAGAAAGCCATACAGAGAGATCAAGAAAGCCATACAGAGAGTTTAAGAAAGCCATACAGAGAGATCAAGGAAGACACACATGGAGAGATCAAGGAAGACACACATGGAGAGATCAAGGAAGACACATGGAGACATCAAGGAAGCCATACAGAGAGATCAAGAAAGCCATAGAGAGAGAGAGAGAGAGAGAGAGAGAGATCAAGAAAGCCATACAGAGAGATCAAGGAAGCCATACAGAAAGATCAAGGAAGCCATACAGAGAGATAAAGAGAGACATACAGAGAGATCAAGAAAGCCATACAGAGAGATCAAGGAAGCAATACAGAGAGATCAAGGAAGCCATACAGAGCGATTAAGAAAGCCATACAGAGCTATCAATGAAGACACACATGGAAAGATAAAAAAAGTCATACAGAGAGATCAAGAAAGCCATACAGAGAGATCAAGAAAGCCATACAGAGAGATCAAGGAAGCAATACAGAGAGATCAAGGAAGCCATACAGAGAGATCAAGGAAGCCATACAGAGCGATTAAGAAAGCCATACAGAGCTATCAAAGAAGACACACATGGAAAGATAAAAAAAAGTCATACAGAGAGATCAAGAAAGCCATACAGACAGATCAAGAAAGCCATACAGAGAGATCAAGAAAGCCATACAGAGAGATCAAGGAAGCCATACAGAGCGATTAAGAAAGCCATACAGAGCTATCAATGAAGATACACATGGAGAGATCAAAGAAGCCATACAGAGCGATCAAGGAAGACACTCGTGGAAAGATCAAGGAAGCCATACAGAGAGATCAAGGAAGCCATACAGAGAGATCAAGGAAGCAATACAGAGAGATCAAGGAAGCCATACAGAGCGATTAAGAAAGCCATACAGAGCTATCAAGTAGACACACGTGGAGAGATCAAGGAAGCCATACAGACAGATCAAGGAAGCTATACAGAGAGATCAAGGAAGCCATACAGAGAGATCAAGAAAGCCATACAGACAGATCAAGGAAGACACACATGGAGCAGAGAATCTGACACAGAGACAAATAATATAGGGAGGAGGATATGAATTCAGCTAAAAGAGATGGCACAGACATGAAAACTTAGCATGGATTGCAGACCTGAGTCATAATGAAGGGAAAAAGAAAAGAAAAACAAATTTTTGAATCTCAAAGCCAAATGTGTCTAATGATATCGTTTCTATTTTAACATAAATGCATAAATCAGGCGTGCATCTGCCAAACTAAACAATTACAAAGCCTGAGAAATTAAAAAAAAAAAACACTGCACTAAATATTAAAAGTCTTAATTTTTGTACTGTCAAAAACATGAAAGAAATACTTACCAGAGCTAATTAAAATGAGAGCACTCAACATGGCCATCTCACTTTCCGTGATGTTAAGGAGTTGAATATTTTTCACAAAGTCAAATATGGCCGTCATAAGGTGGAACTCTTCGTCGGCTGAAAATTAAAACCTCACAATGTAGAAATGTATCTAGTTCAAACAAGTGAATTAGTTGACAGATGATCCTCACTGCATGTTGAACTATTCAGTTCTAAAGTGCTGAGATGCTCTCCTATGTATACCCTTCCCCACATACTTCTTCTTTTGTCCACTTAGAAGAATTGAGCATTTAGTGGTGATAAAGCCAGTTCTGTGTCAGTTAATTACTCTTCTTTGGCTTCCCACAAAGTGTTCTTGTCTGGATATCTAAAGGAGCCAAACGCACAAGTACATTAAATATATTTCAGTTTTATGAATATCTTGTTCTGCTGTGTTCCACTTTAAAAGGGCAGTTGGATTGTTGCATTGTGGTTTACATACAGGCTGCGATATTTGCACCTTTCGGTCGCAGAGATCTGATATTAGCAAATCCTTGTTAGTATCTTTTACAACATGCATGATTTCCCTGTCATTCCCAAGACTAAATGTAGTCACTTCCAGTTGTGTTGGAGTCATGTAAATCTGATATACTGGCCTGCTGCCTATAGTGAAGTAATCTGTTCTCAAAAAGCGCAGTTAAATTCCATTTGTTTTATGTGCGTCTGCACAGTGTATAATAGGCCACAAAATGAATACAGTAAATAAAAATAACATTGGGGAGGGGATGGGGGTTCCTCATGATACCAAGATAGGTTAATGTCAAATGTTCCCATAAGCCTCAATGATAAAGGTCACGGCATGACTCACCCAATACGTATTGTAAATTTTTTTAGCCCCCAGAGATTGTATTCCTTTCAATGCTTCACTGTGTTCATGTTTATTGATTATCCCTTTTATATACCTGTACATATATCAAAAATAAATTTTGAAATGCAGATAAATATATTTGTTTAAAATATTAGTGACCTGTGTCAAATAGTGACCTTTAACATGGTAGGAGGTCCCTTATGGACTCCAGTAACACAATAAAACACCCGGCACTCTATTCCATTATTCAACTTCAAGTCTACTGAGTTAAGTTTCTAGAGGCGACAGATACTGCAACTAATGAACAAGAGGAAGCTTCATGACTTTCTAAATGAGAACATACTACAACCAGGAAGACTCACTCAAATGAGCAAATGCCTCCAATGGCAAAAACATGTTTCCAAAGACAACACGGTTGGACTCGGCATCAAACACTCGGCAAAGTTGCATCAAGGCCAGTTCAAAACTTCCTGAACAGAAACAAACAGCACATATTTAATCCAATGTTCTCTTGCCTTTATAATTAAAGAATGTCAAAACATAGTAGTCATTTTATTAGAGATATTTTGCTTCAAGCATGAGGTTATAACAAGGGTACATTTTTGTCTTTTCAAATACTGGATATTTATTTTTGTCTAATAATACTGCCTATATATTAACACAGTAAACATGTAAATAACATATTTTTACTGTTAAGCTATTACTGTTAAGTTATAGATTACAGGATTTTATATATATATAGATGTTTTCTTTTTCTCTTTTTCTGCGTTCGCCATAAAGTGAGTGTTTGGCAGGTTACTTTGCGGTCACAGCAAGGTTGCAATAGTTACATCTTTTGGCCCAACACAACTGATATCAGCAAACTCCTTAATATTCACATTTGACTACAAGCTTGTTAGAGGACAGTAGGCCTACTCTTGCCCCCCCCCCCCCCAACCGAACTTGTGGCCCTGGAACCCATATAGGGGGGATTATTTCAGTGATTGCAGATTATTAAGAGTTAATAGATTAAAAGACTTCACATTTAAAGTTCATAAAGTTGACTGCAAATTCACAAACAACCCCATAATTTGTTGGCTGTTTGTGGGTTTTAATAGGTAATGTTACGTTCAGTAGTTTGCCACTGAATGATCTTATGTTGATTTCATTATCCAAATGAACGCAAAGTGGTCTAACATCTAATCACCTGCAGCTGTAAGAAACTCAGTATATCACAATTATGAAATCACCCATCACTATCAGTTCATCTTTCTCCTTCACCCTGCTTAATATGTCTTACAGTTGATTGATATATTCATGTTTTTTTTCTTCACTGCAGCTGTCTTTACATGGGGCGTAAGTTTGTACAATAGTCATTGCCTACTCTGTATCAATATTATTCTTTCCGAAATGCATTCAGTGTTGATAGTCTTTTAGCTTTTTCAGGGTGTACTATAAAACCCACACCATGTTTGGCCGTTACTTATTGACTGAAACCGCTCAATATCAGAATATTAATTTTCATGTATTCATTTTGTATTTTGTCCCTCTTTTCTCGTATCAGCCAATCCTAATATCTGGATGTTCAATTTCTTCATGAATTCCATTAGTTCTGGTTCTTTATTTTCTAATCCACTAACATTCCAAGTACTGAATATTTCATGTTTGCTTTTGGCTGTAGCTTTTGCTGTTCGCTTTTTTGATGCGTTGTGTGTGTGTTTCCAGTCTTTACAAAGCTTATAGAATCACGTGTTTCCTTTAATTTCCTCAAAAAATCTTGAGCAATATCAGATGAACGAATAAATTCCCTACTGTTTGCTGGACCTGTGGTAGGATCATCCTCATTTGAAAACGTTGCGTTAAAAAACACACATAAAACACATTTTAACAGGCACTGATACAGCGAACAATGTTTACTCCACCATCTTGGTAAAACCGATGTCTATAAACAAAAATATGTATGTATGTGTATATAATCTTTGATCAGAGGTATAAACAAAGCTGCACAATTTGACTGGCAGGCACATTTCCCTGTAACTCATCAGGTACAAACTGGAGAATGTACACAAACATATAATGATACACACAAATGTTATCACTTCAACTAATGAACACCAAGTGCAGTCCATTACTATACAGACTGTTCATCTCAAGACATAAATCTTAGATTAAGTAAATAAACATTATAGCAGTCAAGCTAAACACAGAACATACTAGGACATGTGTGTTGACCTTGTCAATTGTTTCATTCAGCTGTTAATTTTGTCAGCAGACAGAAAACTCTGGTCAAAACATGAGGATATATTTGTGCATGTCTTTTCCAATCTGCTGGTTGAGCTTTCTAGTCAATTGTTGTATGTGTTTAGGTAGGTCTTAGATTTACCCATATCCCAGTAAAATATGATAGGCAATAAACTGTACAATATATTATTGGTGCACTTATTATTTACACTCATATTGGTAAAACATTGTTTTAAATATTTTTAAAACTAATGTTGGACCATATGGGTGCCACGACAGAAGTCTCCCTCTCATATATCTTATAATTCCTCCTCTTTCATAAGCAGATCATTCAAAATGATAACATAGTCTGTGACCACAGAAAGACAGAACACAGACTGGAGAACCAAGATAGGGACAAAGCAAAGAAAAAACAACTCTCACCAGCCTTCAGCAACATAATCTGATCATCCTGAGAGAGCTCCATGAATCCTGGAATCATCTTGGCAAACTCAATAATCTGTTGGACAGCCAGAGTGACTTTGTCTGCAATCTCTGACCATAACTGTCGATGAGACTGTTCCAAATGAAGATATTACATGTTTTGTATATGCAAAAGCATTTTTTTTTTAATTATACAAAAAACAAAAACAAAACACTGACACCAAAGTCTACATTTGATCTATTCACTCGCCTTCCCATTATACCAGTTTAGCTAAAATTATTTCAATCATGAATCTTCCGTTACATGTGTATAGAAAATATTCTGGACGTCTTAGGTTAGCTGGGTTTACATTATTTGTGACTGTTTCATTACATTTGTGTAAAGGATTTTATAGCCTATTTTATACCAGTTTAGCTCAATTGATTTCATCACAACTATTCCAGCATACAAGTGTAAAAAATATTGTAGTCTAGTTTATATTTAGTCTAGCTGACTTGATTTCACCCCAACAGTCCCAGTATATGTGTGTGAAACACATTCTAGTCTGGTTAATACTAGTTTAGCTAAACTAATTTCATCGTGACTATTCCATTAAATGTATGCAGAAAATGTTCTGGCCTAGTTTACACCAGGTTAGCTGAGATTTCATTGTGACCGTTCCATTATCGATGTACAGAAGACTAGATCTTTTCCTCGCAACATTTCCTCTTCAAGGGAATTGTTAGTATCATTTTTACCAGGCCTAGTAAACCCTAGCACCACACGCAGACACTAGCCTTTAGAGACAGTGATGCAGATTTAATCACCACAAGTAGCAGATTTTACCAAGCTATCTCTGGGGTCAACCAGAGCATTTCCAGAGTAAACAGTGATGAGAAAGGACAGTGGCCACTGCACCTCACTTGTCGAGGCATAGAATATGTGTAAGGCCTAACACTTCACACAACAGCTGTATTGCTACAGGATAATTTTACCATATGCAGAAAAATAAAATATTCTTAACTAGCACTCAGCCCTGATTGCCATCTGGTTACGGTAAGGCACTATACTACCATAATAGTGGCAGTGGACAAGTGTCGTGCCTGCTGGCTCGAAGGTGTTGGTTTCAAACCTGTATGCATTTAAATAAATAGTGCTCTCAGGCCAATTCAGCCTTAAAAAAAAAAGGTCTGAGGAAATGTCATAGGAAATATATGCAGCAAGCATGATTGTGATCACATCACTTATCAAGCACCAATTGGTCTAAACAAATATATTTGCAAAGTGGACGATTCCAAAATAATCAGTGTTTTCGAATGGGTTTTTCAAGAAAAGTTCTGCCTTGTTCAAGGGTTTACCAGGTATAAGCAGTAATTTATTCATGACTTTAAAGGGGTTTTACCAAGATGTATGTCCCAGGGAAGTAAAGACGGCCGGCGTAATGCTGACCATATTACCTACCTAATGCTGATTCTTCTTCTTCTTTTGTCAAAATCTGCTTGTGCCGCTAGGTGTCGCAGTCTATCAGATGATCGGCAACCGAGCCGGGGGGGGGGGGGGGGGGGGGGGGGCTCAGTCGCTTCATATGCCGTGATGTTATGAAGTCTCAAGTTGTCCGTGACTCCTTCAATCCATCTTCTTCTTGGTCTTCCCCTGCCTCTTGGTGTTTCGATTTTCATGTTGTATGCTCTTGATGCTGGCATCGTTGGTTCCATTCTCATTAGGTGACCAAACCATTTCATTCTTTGCTTCTCAATAAATTTAACGATGGGTATGGTTCCAATAGTTCTTGTAATCACATCGTTTCTCACTCGATCTCTTCTGGTTTTATTCGCAGCCATTCTCAAACATCTCATTTCACAGGTGATTAGTCTTCTCTCGTGTTCTTTTGTTAATGTCCAAGTCTGACATTGATAACCCAATGTCGGTATAAAGATTGTATTTATAATTTGTCTTTTTATCTCAGCTGGGACAGCAGGGTGTTTTAAAATTGGAGCAAGCTGGTATGCGACATTGTTGGCTTGTTGGATTCTTGCTTCGATCTCTCTGTCTATTTTACCATTGAATGTAAAGATACTTCCCAAGTATTTAAATTCTTGCACTTGTTTTAGGCTGTGATCTAGAATCTTTATGTCGATGGTCTGTTGCTCTCTACTTATGCTCATGACTTCTGTCTTTTCAGTATTGATCTTCATATGATGCTTGAGGCAACTGTCGTGTAGTAGGTTTATGTGGTCTTGCAGCTGTTTACTATCACTGTGAAATAGGCATTGATCGTCGGCAAAGAGCAGCTCATGGAAGTCCTCCTGTTTATCGACATCTGTTGGTGTTATGTCTATTTTATTAATATTGTCCATAAATTTTATGAAAAGTAAAGGTGATAATACACAACCTTGTCTTACTAATGATGTTACTGGGAACCAGTCTGTGATGCCAGCTCTTGTTCTAATGGCGCTTTCACTTTGTCTATAAATAGCCCTAACACAATCTAAAATTGTTCCATTTATACCGTAGTTTTCAAGAACTTTCCATAATAAATTACTCTATCGAAAGCTTTTTCTTGATCTATGAAAGCGATGTTCATTTGATATCTGTGTTCTATTGTTTTTTCGCTAACTTGTCTTAAAGCAAAAATAGCGTCAGTACACCCTCTTCCTTTCCTAAATTCGACCTGTGATGGGCTCAGGATCGGTTCTACAACGGATCTAATTCGTTGTTCCAGAATTTTGGCAAACATTTTTCCTACATGGCTTAGAAGGGAGATGCCTCTGTAATTGTTACAATCTTGCTTATTGCCTTTTCTTTTCCAAATTGGGACTATAAGGGCTATTTGCCAGTTTATTGGTACAGTTCTTTCATTCCAAGCTTTCCTAAATATGTGGAGTAGCCAGGTGACTCCAATTTCTCCCCAAGCCTGTATTGCCTCGGCTGATATTCCATCAACACCTGATGTCTTATTTTTGGGACTGCATCTGATTGCTTCTCTGACTTCTTGTTCGATTATTAGTGCTGATTGGTCTAAAAATATGGGTGCTCTTCCTTATGTCTGATGCGCCTAAAGGCTTGAAAAGGGATCTTTACTTTTACTTACTTTCAAAGGGGTTTTCAAGGTTTACAGGGTTGCTTATAGCCCTGAATAATGTATAGTGTCATGTGTCTGATGAACCATGGGTGTGACAAGTACCCTGTACTGTATGACTACCCGATCCACTCAGTTCTTACAGCTGCAGGGCAAGAAACTAGAATTGGAATAAACATTTTTTTTACTTTCTTCTTCCTCTCCCTTGTGCAACCAAAATATCTGAAAAATTGTGAATTTAATGCTTAAGAAAAGATCAAATTAAAAACATGACTTACAAAATTCTTGAACATGGTGACTCGATCCTGAGGTAGTGTCTGGTGTTTCAGCAAGTTGATCTGTTCATTGCTGTAGAGGCATGTCCTCAGATGGGCCTCTGTGATGGCTTTCCCCAAGTTTACTGAAGGGAACAAAACTTGTCACTACAAAACGAAATTCTTCAGTACTGGGTATTTTATTCTTTACACAGAATGATACTGTCTGAAATCTAAAATGGATAACTATGTGGGACAGGAAAAACTAGAAGTAGACAAGAAAGACAGATGTAACAAAAGTCAAACATTAATTAAAGTAAATTTCTTACAAGATAACTACTGAGTTGAGTCAAGAACTGACATCACAGTACTCGGGGCATTACCATATGTACTCCGCCCCATCTTCAGCACTAGCGCAGAGTTCCAATAATAATGGTACTGGTCATAGTCTGGTTATATGTCTGTCTTGCCTTTCCTCTGAGTGCAGTGAACTAGCCAGACCCTCTGGTCATATCCAGTTGCTCGTCCGACCTCATTACTTGTTCCCAAAGGACCTTGAACACATCTGGCTTGTCATGCATCAATTCACCAGGCAGTGGTGCAGATCCAGCTAATCTGTCTGCCTATGCATGGCCTGGAAAAAAGATCTAAAGTATGTTCACTATCTGTGACCTTCCAAGTGAATCTTGGCACTCTGCTAGATGCAACCCAGTCTTCTCCTTTCTCTTCATGCTTTCAGAGTCTATGATATCTGCACACCCCACAGGACAGACAAGTCTATGCTACCTCCTCACTCCCCAGGACAGACAAATCTATGCTACCTTTAGCCCTCAGAACAGACAAGTCTGTGCTATATCTACACCCCTCCTCCCTCAGGACAGACAAGTCTATGCTATGTCCACACCTCCCAGGACAGACAAGCCAGTGCTATCTCTATACACCCCAAAGACAGACAAATCTAGTCTACCTCCACATCCCCCCACCCAGGACAGAAAAGTCTGTGCTATCTCCACACCCCCAAGACAGACAAGTTTATGCTACCTCCACACCCCTGGATCAAAAGAGATGAATATTTGTGAGAAGCTAAAAGAGAACCTTACTAGGATTCATGTCAACAGCTCTCATTAAAGTAGCTGGTTGAGGAGTGGGCTGGATGCTTGGGGTGGGTGAGTACAGCTGACCCTCGGTGATGAACTCATGCTGCTGCTGTTGCTGCTGCTGTTGTGAAAAACTGTAGCCATTGGCTTCATAACCACCAAACTGCTCCTGGCTTAATCTAATGAAAATAAAACAAAGTTAGGTTCTTATAAAAAGTATCAACATTACATTTCTTTTTTGTCTATTAGGCAAATCAAATAAATGGCCTTTATTTTTCTGTCAAATGAATGTTCTGGAACCTACTATATATAAACTCAGGCTCCTCTAATACACAGTGTGTACAAATGAATGTTCTGGAACCTACTTTATATTAACTCAGTCTCCTCTAATACACAGTGTATACAAATGATTGTTCTGGAACCTACTGTATATAAACTCAGACTCCTCTTATACATAGCCTATTGTATATAAACTCACACACTTCTAATTCACAGTGTGTAAAAATGATTATGCAGCATACACATATGACTGACCCCTAGCACACTCGTATATGAGGTCTATGCGGAAATACATTGTTAGCTGGATGTCTGAAAACCTAATCCCCTTCAAAGTAGTCTCCTTGTGACTGCTAACATCTCTGAGAACAGTCCAACCATTTAGAGGGAAAGGGGGGGGGGGAGACATTTCTGGAAGACCTTTTTAGAAACAAACTGAGTCATCACATTCTACATAATGACTTCTTGTGACTCAAATGTGGCCTCCATTCGGTGACATTTTCACTTCTGACAACAGCAACACAACTGCAGGTGTCACTGCCAGACAGTATGGAGCCTGAGGAATGTTGTTAGCCCAAAAAATTAGAATCAGATAAAAAGAATTGACAAGTATATTGTGACAAAGGAACTGAAAAGTTTCACTGTGTGCAAGCCCAGTCTGCACTGCACAGCATCATGAAGGTGACGGTTAGCTACACCAGGTAACACTTCATAGTAGTGTTTTGGAGTTATGATGCATGCTCATAATTTAACACCCTACAGGGAATAAACCTGACTGAATAATGTAAAACAACTAAATGAAAAAGTCATGTTTGAAAAAAAAAAATTGTCTAAGTAACCATAATCTATTAGTAAGAAAATTGTCTTCTGCAGTCACCCTTAAAATGGTGACTGGCACGTTATGTTGTGATTTACAGCTAGGCTATGATATCCATGCCTTTCAGCCTTACACATCTGATTTCAGTAAAAAAATCCATAATTAGTCTCCTTTGACAACAGGTTTGTTGGGAGCAGGGGGTCAATTCTCCCAATGGAGTCCCAGAACTGACAACAGGACAAACATCGTATAAACTTACCCTTTCAGTCGGCTTGCTTTGACCATATTTGCCTCATCTTCAACTTTTTCTCGCTGCTTCTTGGACATGCGACCAAATTTGACAGCTGCAGAAATAAAGATCATGAGACAAAAGTCTAATCTCTATATCAAAGATTTAGCTGAAATAATTACAACTTACAAAATCAGATATTTCACATCTCGTAAAATATGACAGTTGGTTGGTGAATATTTTGAAAGACTAGAGTTTATTGCCTGTTGCACTGTTCAGGTCAGTTGAGCCTTGAGAAGGACTTGTATCTGCTGAAGAACCTTTTTTATTTAAAGACCTTCTCCATCCATGGTGACCTGCAAACAAACTTTTCCTCCTCTCTCCAAGCTCAAAAACTGAGGGGTATAAGACCAGTACTGGATCATCATATGTGAGGAAAGGCATAGCAGACGTCCAGACCATGATCCAAGACAGTATGTGTGGGATGACTAGGATTGGAGCCACACTGGTGTTTTCATCCCAGATGTGAGGTGTCTGAATGTCACTGTAAGCCAGCACCTAGAGAGAATATTATGTGACTACACATATTTTTCTGCCAGTTGACACGAACATAAATGTAACTACAGGACAGGCACGGTTTCTTCTTCTTCTTTGTTCACAGGCTGTAAACTCCAGCAAAAAGTCCTGGTTGTTTGTCCATTCGGACTCTGGCTTTGTGTCAGGGCCTGAGTTTTGCGTTTACACCCGTGTTACTGACTTATTTGTGTGCAGTTGGTTGTTCCTTGCATCTCTGGCAGATTCACACCGACTTCAAAAGGAAGTAACCAGTTAGTAAACTCCTACAACATACTTGCTGGGAAGGCAGTGGGTCTATTCTTGTTTTCCCCATAATAGAACCCCGGAACCCACACATGAGAAGGGGTTTCACATGTCTGACGTAATTTTCTTCTCCGAGAGCTTTTATTTTCTGTTACAGTTAAATGTAAGTCTTTTTCAAGATTATTGAAAACTGTACTGATGTTATTACCAAATTACCATCCTCATGAAGTCACTAACACTGCACTGTTGTCAAGCCTGCTGCTAATTTCAACAACCTGCATTTACATCCCTTGGGAGAAGTAAGCACTTACCAACTCCAGAATCCCACCAGAGAACCAGTGAGCACTTACTATATCTGAAATCCCAGGAGATAACTAGTCAGCATTTATTATCTCTGGAATCCCAGGAGAGAACAAGTTAGCACTTACTATATTTAGAATCCCAGGAGAGAACTGTCAGCACTTACTATCTTTAGAACACCAGAAGAGAACTAGTTAGAACTTACTATCTCTAGAATCCTAGAAGAGAACTAGTTAGCACTGCCATCTTTAGAATCCCAGGAGAGAACTACTTAGCACTTAACATCTCTAGAATTGCAGGAGAGAACTAGTTAGCACTTACATCTCTAGAATCCTAGGACAGAACTAGTTAGCACTTATACATTTCTAGAATCCTATGAGAGAACTACTTACCATCTCTAGACATTCCAAGAGCCATGCACTTCTGTAGACGGCAGTACTGGCATCTATTACGATTCACCCGGTCTATAACACAATTCTTATTTCTTGGACACTGGTAGTTGACAGGACCAGACTGGCTCCTCCTAAAGAAGCCCTAGTGGAGAATCAAATATGACAATGAGTAAAGGTAAAAGAGGACCCGTTCCCATCATTAGTGTAATAGACATATTGTGCTAGACCCAGATTTGTGTAGTTCAACTGTCACTCAAGGGGTGATGTCATCAACATCCAGCTGGACACCTTTCCCATGCAATTTCTTGTTAACCTTTTCAAATTGAACTGGGAGCCCTATGTGATTTAAACCAAAGAATTTGGGCTTGCCGGCACACATCTAGCCACTGAGCAACCATAACCTCCAAGAAATTGATTATGTCGACCTAATTCTTAAAAACTGTGACGAAAAATCATAAGATATTTTGAACTGTCAACAGCTGTGAACACCTATGACACTGATAACTACACAGATTAACGTTAATGTTCACAATATTTATTAAATAATTAGCATAGCTAATTGCAATGGTCTCTTAAAAATCTTCTGAATTTTCTATGTGGCATGGGACTGACTGACATGTGTGTCGGCACTCACATGTGTGATGAAACTGACAAAATTGATGGGACTGACACCTGTGATGGGACTAACATATGTAAGTCCCTTGCAAATAATAGTTCCCTTACACACATCAGTCCCCTCATACATGCTAGTCCCGTGACACACATCAGTCTCCCCCCCCCCCCACCCACCAGCCCCCTCACCCAAACCAGTCTCCTCAGATTCATAAGTCCCACTGTACACTATAATCTACAATTCACATTCTTTGAGCACATCCAGAAGAGTTATTTTTTTTTTCTTTTTCTTCAATTGCAAAATCTGGCAGTAAGTAAGTCCTAGCTGGTCACCTGTGTCTCTATTCTGACCTTGACTCAGCAGGACTTTGGTATTGCATGCATACCTATTTTCTAGATGTTACTTATAGTTTGCTGGCTGGTGGTTTTTCGGTCTCTCCGGAAGATGCTGTCTGACTTAAATGGAACTGTCAATTTCTCTGACTCTGAAGGAAATGTTAATCTCTCTGACTTAGAAGGAAATGTTAATCTCTCTGACCTAGAAGGAAATGTTAATCTCTCTGACTTAGAAGGAATTGTTAATCTCTCTGACTTAGAAGGAAATGTTAATCTCTCTGACAGAAGGAAATGTTAATCTCTCTGACAGAAGGAAATGTTAATCTCTCTGACTTAGAAGGAAAAGTTAATCTCTCTGACAGAAGGAAATGTTAATCTCTCTGACTTAGAAGAAAATGTTAATCTCTCTGACTTAGAAGGAAATGTTAATCTCTCTGACAGAAAGAAATGTCAATCTCTCTAACTTAGAAAGAAATGTCAATCTCTCTGACTTAGAAGGAAATGTCAATCTCTCTGACTTAAAAAGAAATGTCAAACTCTCTGACAGAAGGAAATGTCAAACTCTCTGACAGAAGGAAATGTCAAACTCTCTGACAGAAGGAAATGTCAAACTCTCTGACAGAAGGAAATGTCAATCTCTCTGACAGAAGAAAATGTCAAACTCTCTGACAGAAGGAAATGTCAAACTCTTTGACAGAAGGAAATGTCAATCTCTCTGACAGAAGGAAATGTCAAACTATCTGACAGAAGGAAATGTCAATCTCTCTGACTCAGAAGGAAATGTCAAACTGTCTGACAGAAGGAAATGTCAATCTCTCTGACAGAAGGAAATGTCAAACTCTCTGACAGAAGGAAATGTCAATCTCTCTGACAGAAGGAAATGTCAATCTCTCTGACAGAAGGAAATGTCAAACTATCTGACAGAAGGAAATGTCAATCTCTCTGACAAAAGGAAATGTCAAACTCTCTGACAAAAGGAAATGTCAAACTCTCTGACAGAAGGAAATGTCAAACTCTCTGACAGAAGGAAATGTCAATCTCTCTGACAGAAGGAAATGTCAAACTATTTGACAGAAGGAAATGTCAAACTCTCTGACAGAAGGAAATGTCAATTTCTCTGACTTAAAAGGAAACTGGCCAGGACCAAGACAGGCTCCAGCTGTGGAACCTCTGACATACATTCAAGCACCCAGAATCACTGCATTAAGACCCAACGATAGGGAGCCCATTTATAAGATGACTATTGTGGTTGTAGACAGTTTATCACCAGTATGAACCCTGTGCCTGCTGCATCAAGGGGGAAGAGAGAGAGAGAGAGAGAGAGAGAGAGAGAGAGAGAGAGAGAGAGAGAGAGAGAGAGAGAGAGAGAGAGAGAGAGAGGATGTTGGACAGTGTGGCATCAAGACAAGGCAGAATATTTGTATCAGAATTAAGCAGCAGCACATGGGGCAGAAAGCTGTGAGCAGGAAATGATCATCAAAATCATAAGATATGTACCAAAAGATATGTTAAAAAAAAAACAACCTTACATTCCTCACAAGAACATATAGCAAACATCACATAATCTTATGTTCCTCCCCAAAAAAATACTGCAAACATCCAACAACATTATATTCCTTACAAGAACATACAGCAAACATCACATAACTTTACGATCCTCATACAAACATACAACAACTTTACCCTAACCCTAAATTATATTGCACATAAGAACACTGACCTTACATCCCTCGCAAGTAATAACACCATAGTGAACTCCTGAAGACTTGTCCCCACAGATTTTACAGGGGATGGCTTCAATCTGGGCTGGTAAGACAAATAAATATACAATTGTTTTCTAAAGAAGTTGCACTGAAACTAAAAACTGCAGAACAATAATGAAACCCCCCAAAAATGGGCACGCTAATATTTGTAAATACATATAGAAAATCAAAATAATTATTTAGAGAACAAAATTATGAATACCACAAACAATATTTTGAATGCTGCACTATTATGACCTGAGCCCCACCCCCGCCCCTCCTCCTCCACCTACCAACCCCCACTGCATCCAAGCCTTCTCCCCCCCCCCCCTTTCCAGTCCCTACCGAGGGGTCGGTACTGCCCTATTTATATGCACTGTCCTAGACCAGGCACGGTAAGGGGGGGGGGGGGTGTAACTCAGAAATAACTGGTAGCACACTATGAGGAATGCTGTGAACATGTAACATGATTAAAGAGGCCAGGAATGGACTGTAAGATGAAGAGCAGCCAGCCCTTTATTCCCACTATCAGGTGTGGCTTGGAAAGAGGTCCCTTCACCAGTTTCACTTTCACTGGGAGTAGCTTATTGTATGACGGCGGGTGTTATCAATTTAAACAAACATAAGAATCTGAAAAAGAAAATGTCCATCTGGGATTCAGCCAGCGAGCCAAAATACAAATCTGGGAACCCCCAAGTTCCAGTAAAAACACACCTGGTGTGTGCTACTGCGACATTGACCTCTGTTGACCGATATAATTTCCCTGTAAACCTCTCCGGTCAGCCAGGTCAGTGACCTGCCAGGCTTGCTCTGGTCACTCTGGCGTGCTACTGTGGCACGCTAAAGTCTGTGTCATTGGGGGAAAGGAAGGAAGGGGGTGAGGGATAATTAGCGGCAGAGATCCAGGAGAGTCAAGAATGCAAACAGTCATGCTTCATAGTGTGTCAATAGTTGGTGTGTGCTGCCTGACAACACAGGTTAACACAGGACAGGCAGCCGAGCAGCTTGGGTGCGCTCGGTTGCTTAGTACGCTGTGATGAGATGTCTTAGGCTGTCAATGACTCCGTCAGTCTATTTTTGTGCAGGGCTTCCTCTGCCTCTTGGTGTTTGCATGTACATGCTGGTGTTTGCATTGTACATACATGCTCTCAGCTCTCGCTGCTGCCATGATTGTACATATATGCTCTCAGCTCTCGCTGCCGCCATTGTTGTACATATATGCTCTCAGCTCTCACTGCCGCCATGGTTGTACATATATGCTCTCAGCTCTCGCTGCCGCCATGATTGTACATACATGCTCTCAGCTCTCGCTGCCGCCATGATTGTACATACATGCTCTTAGCACTCGTTGCCGCCATGGTTGTTGTATAGTTATTTCTTAGTGTTCATCAGCTGTAAACTCTATCGGAAAGCTCTTGTATACAGACTTCAGACTTTTTGTTTTGCGTACCCATCCAATGTACAGAACTAGCTTATCTGTATGCAGACTGTTGGTTCCTTCCCTCTCAGGCAGATGCACTCTGACTTCGCAGAAAATACACACAATGTGTCGCCTTTTACGACACGCGTTAGGGACTTGTTTCCCCCAAAATGGGACCCCGGAACCCACACAGGAGAACGAAATAAAATTCAGACAAGTTAACTATTTCCGTCACATTAGCAGACATTATTTTTATAAACCATACTGGAAAAAAGGAAAAAGGGGGGGGGGGGGAATAGAAGGTATGCGAGCAAGAGGCGCACAGCAATAGAAAAGGGGTGGGGGGGGGTGTCGTGAAATGATAGTCATTACACATCGGTTTGTAAGGCTGATAACCTGTCTTACCTGTAATCTGCACAAAATTCAAACTTGGACTCGCCCAGAAATATATAGTCCCTTATATCTATATATATAGGCCTGTATTGGACACCATTATTATGTCTGCCTTTTCTGGTTACTTTAACTAAACTCCACTTTTAAATGTATTTCTTTTGGGGATATATTTACGGAGTTAATTGAGGTTTCTTGGAAACCGATTTACTCCTTGCCCCAGTATACAAGGAACTTCTTTTGTACCGACGCCTGAATGTCTAACTGACGCCATTCTCCTTGCAGCTTCTCAAGCCTCCAGATGTGTTAATCTGTGCCTGTATACTGTCAATTTCAAGGCAATCTGGAAATGTTTCAGTTCTTACATATGCTTGGGTAAGTTAATTATAGTTTACGAGTACCTAGAATGTTGTCTGTAAAGTAGTCACTGTTGTAGAGAAATCCATATCGGCTGTGTGATCTCACTTAGTTCTACATTCTTGATCGCTAGAGTAGCGGGATTCGAACGTAGATCTTCCACTGTACAGACTAAATAGCTTATGCCCTCAATAAACCACCCATACTGATAAAACAGTTTAATGCCCTTACAATTGTGTACGGTTTAAACTACTACAGAAATCTGTACATATGAGATGGGGACAGAATTGGGTCAGGGCTGTGTTAATCAAACTATGTGTGTGCTTGACCCAGATCATTGAGTGCTGGGCGGTTTGGAAAACTAGTGAATGCAGGTACTGACAGTAAATATTGGTGTTGTGTGCAGAGTGAGGGGGATAGGGAGAGTGATATATGTGTTGGGACCACTTTATCTATCTCCACTATATCTGACTTGCCTTCTCTTGCACTAAAAACAGACAAATAAATATAGGAGACTTATGTCTTCTGGTCTGGAGAGCAAATCTGAGGGAATGAAATAGGAGAGCAGGAGGAGACAGCAGATGGGAGGTGATGACTTATGCTTGCTCTGTCTTTCCTGTCAAGATGTTACCCTCTTGATGATGACTAATGTTGAGTTTATTTTCTTGAACAGGATGTATATTTCTGAAGAGCTGGCAGAAGATTCACAGTCTCAACAACAGCCAACCACCAATCCTACCA